TTCTCTATAATTTCCGGCTTCGTTTTTGAAAATCGGTCGAGTCATTGAGAAAATATGAAGGATTGAAATTTGAAAAGTTTATTTAAACATTTATCAGAGTAAATGATAAGGATAAATTCCTTCGACCAATTTGCTGTTTTTTCTTATTATTTCTAGATGTTTACGCATTTTTTCACTTGCCACAAGGTAGAACGATCAGGTGAGGTAATTGCTAGATAGCTGTTCTGTGACTTATGCGTTGAAGTTCTTCTCAATATCGTTAAATTTTTTAACAATTATTAGGGTATACTCACTTGCAGAAAAAGTGGAAATAATCGAACTTTATTTTAAAAATTACTAAATGTGGCAATCGGGTTGCGCAGATATTCAATGAACGCCATCCTGACAACCACCTTTATGGCAAAATTGTTCGCGAGTTAGTAGCAAAATTTCGCGAAACTGGTTCCGTTATGAATAAAAAGAGGCAGAGGGAAAATCCTGTAGTAAATGAAGCTATGGAGGTATTTGTATTGGGCCAAGTTGCCATGGATAGTACGCTGAGTACAAGAAAATTAACCAATGAGACCAGCGTGAATCGTACAAGTGTCCAAAAGATATTAAAAAAACGCAAGTTCCACCCGTACAAAATTCAGTTGGTACAAGAACTCAACGAAGACGATTTTGATCGTCGTTTGCAATTTTATGAAACTATGAGTGAACGAGTGGCGAATGATAATAATTTCATTTTTAATGTGTGTTTTTTGGATGAGTGTACTTTCTTTTTGAACGGTGTAGCCGATTAAGCACAATTGTCGGTAGTGGGCTGAAGATAACTCGAGGGTTTTTCACGAGGTGCACATACAACACCCTCAGAAATTGAACGTGTGGATTGGTATTTTTTGAAATTCTATTGTGGGTCAGTTTAACGATATTGAGAAGAACTTCAAGGCACAAGTCATAGAACAGCTATCTAGCAACTACCACACCTGATCGTTCAACCTTGTGGCAAGTGAAAAAATGTGTAAACATCTAGAAATAATAAGAAAAAACCTCAAATTGGTCGAAGGAATTTATCCTTATCATTTACTCTGATAAATGTTTAAATAAACTTTTCAAATTTCAATCCTTCGTATTTCCTCAACGACTCGACCAATTTTCAAAAACGAGGCGGGGAAATATAGAGAATAGAAAGCTTTTTTCATTGCGGCGCCACTTGACCCCCCTTCCCATTTGAAAAAAGTTGGGGGATGACACCCCCGCTTAGAGGGTTGAAGATTTCGCAATTATTTTTGGGGCAAAAGTTGTCCCCCTCACAAACAAAATTGACCTGTTTTTGGATTTTTTGAAAAAAAGAATACCCTGGCCGTTATGCCTTGCAGAACGTTTTCGATGGGCTACCCTGTATTAAAAATAAAAATACTGTATAATAATAAAAAAATATACATTGTGTAAAAAAATAATTAAAGTGTTTTTTTTTATTTTTAGCCCTATTTTCATAATTTCTTTAGCAAACTGTACATGTAAAAAACTGTAAATATAAAACTTTAATTCGTAAACTCTTTCATCGTAGAATTTCGTAAATTATACAGGGTTAATCGAGGGATTGTTTTTTGACCTTAACTTTAAAACACCCTGTGCAATAATTTCGTGTGTAAATTTTTCGAAAATATCATTTTACGGTTAGAAACATGAATCCTGAACATTTTGTTTTTTGATTCATGTCAACACATACTTTGGTTAATTTTTAAGAGCGAAATGAACTTGCCACCATCAGTTTGTAATTTTTTCAATTACATATCAGAAATCGATTCAAATTAATTATCCCAGAAATAAGTGCAAGTATTTTAAGGGCTGGTAGATCTCGATAAAAGAAACATATTTTCTCTTCATCGTTTTTTCAAATAAGTCAAAAATAACCGTGTTATTTTACTTTGAAATTTCCAAAAAAATGACTTTTTACCAAAATTTTGAGAACTACTAGATCTTTTCTAAATTTTCTTTCTTGTAAATTTAATCTAATACCTATGTTGCTATATTTTCAAGATATTATGTTTTTTAACTAAAAACAAAAAAAATTCCAAAATTTTTTTTAAAAAATTTCGAATTTTCAAAAAAAAAAATTTCGCGAAAAAAACTCATAGACGTGTTTCTGGGGTTGAACTATACTACCAGTTGAAATACTTGCACTTATTTCTGGGACACCCTGAAAAATAACACGAAAATAGGACTAAAAATTAAAAAAATGTAATTTCTTTATATAAATTTGACGAAAAAATCTTCGTGCGCTTTTTTATGCATCTTAGTGTACTTAACGTTATCAATGCTATAGCCTAAATGACCTATAAATACTTAAAATTAAAAATTGCATTTTCAATATATTTATGTTTGTTCGTATTTTCTAATAAAAATTATTAATCTGCAAGGTCTACATAAAAAACACTTGAAACAGTGTTGATCTAAGTATACAAAAAAAACGATTGCTCTATATAAGGAAGATATGCCTTTATTTCAGTGTTATTTGTGGAAAATACATCTGCAAAAATGAAGCTGGTTCTTTTTGTGAATCCACTCTTTGTTTGGTCTTCCTTTGCCCGAAATGTGAGTTTACCTATATAGTAAGAATAATATACACTTATTTATTTAAAACACCTAAAATATTGCAATCTAGAATATAAATTATGTGTTTAAAGAAAATTTGTAAAAACAGTAGATCATTTTTAATAATAATCTATATTGAAACTAAAAAAACTGAAGTAAATTATTTTTAATTATTCACAGTGGATTTTTCCAAATAAGACATATTACGGTAATTTTTTAGTATTTATTATGCTACCGAAGTTTCTAGATAAAACAAGGCGATGATGTGATTTCATACTGAAAGAAGCTTGTGATATTTTTTTTCGATCTACCCCAATTTTTTATATTAGTATTTTTGAATTTTACCAATTTTGATGTTAAATATAATAAAATATAAGGTATATTATGAGCTACGTAGAAATGGCAACACCCAGTATATACTTAGCTATACAGGGTCATTCACGGCCATGGTACGTTAGTTAAAAAGTACGTAGTTCTTAAAAAGATAATAATATTATAATTTTTTCGTTTAAATAATATATTGTTTTATTCATAGACAAACAAATAAAAAGAAACTGACAAATCTCATGGTAAAGAGTGGGACCGCGTTCCCGTATCGCAACTCAGAATAACAATTTTGAAACCAATTAGCAGGACCATGGCAGGACGTACGTCTTTATTGCGGTCTTTCTTTATTATGTGTGCTTTATATGAAAAAGAAAGGGATAGGTATAAAACGGATCCTAAGACATTATCGCACATTCTGGCTGGCGGAAAATTTAAATTAGCCTTTATTAGTAGTATTCTTTCATTCTGAAACTGAAAATTTTCACTTAAACTGATTTACTCCCTATACCACGTAAAGGAAACGTGGTTTAGGGAATAAATCAGTTTAAGTAAAAATTTGCAGTTTCTTTCAGAACGAAAGAATGCTACTATTATAAGGGAAATTATAAAAAAAGCAAAAATTGTACTGTTTTATAAACATATTTATTTATACATAAAAATAAATAAACTTTTTACAATATAATAACAAAAAATAACAGTGTTTATTCCACCCACCTACCAATTTTAAATGAAGAACTGACTGTTGCAGGAAACGATCGGCCAATTTTTTTAAAGGGCATTAAAAATCTCATTTTCGAAAAAACTGCCTAATTGCAATAACAAAGTGAATATCCAAGCAAAGAAGACTTTACGAGAATCATGATCCTGAACCATTTTCAAGTCCAGTTTTAATCCTAAAACAAAAGTAAGATAGGTATATTAATAAAGTTTCTGGTTACTATAAACCAGCTATAAATTACCTATCCAAAAAATGAAAAAAATTAATTGTATTAATTTGTTATGTTAAGAGAGGTTCGAAATATTTTTGATACTACTACTTCTACTTTTTTCTTAATAAGATGATAAATATAACTACTTACTTTTATTTTACCGGGTGTCTTTAACATATCTATCAGAGAAAGGGGGCACCAATACATATAATAGATGATACTGGCTTCTGCAGCAAATAAAATAACAAATAGTATAACCGAAAATTATAAGTAAGAAAATATAAATACCTATATGGAACAAAGGAATTTGTTCCCTATCCATATTCATGTCAATAAAATGGAGAGATTAGAAAAAAAGGTAAATCACCAAAAGAAAAATTAACAAACATGACGAATTGTCATGATGTTGTCATTTGGGTTGTCATGATGACGAAAACGAAAGGCGATTGTTCTAATTTCTATTTAGAAATTACGTTTTATATGGTTGCTTCTTTCTCTCTTGTTATATTAGAATGAGATAGCGGGCCCAATAGACGCAATGCGCAGATCAACATAAATAGAACGAAATTTTGCGTTCTGAGTTGCGCTACGGGAACGTTGTCCCTCTTTTTGCCATTTAATTTGCCAGTCTCTTTTTATTTGTTTGTCTATGGTTTTATTAGAAGTAAAAATGACACTTTTTGCGGTGAGACTGTACGTTTAGCCGAGGCAAAAGTCATTTCTACTCCCAATAAAACTTGCTATTTTTTTTCAAATGCCACAAATAAGTTTAAAACAATTTCAAACGTTCCGTATATCGAGAAACTATGGTTACGCTCGTTGAATTTGACACTTTACGTCAGTTTAATAATATATTTTCGCACTTATATGCTTGGGCGTAAAAGTGCTTTACTTCCATGCCTAGGAGATAAAATGACTTTTTTATATTGTCAATCACGTCGCAAAAATTAATACTTTTGTGACGTTTCAAAAAAAAATAGTTATTATTTATACAAGACGATAAAATGGTATTTTACCGTCCAACCCTTGTCCGACCGAAAAGATTAACTCACGAGCGATGAAATCGCGAGTGAATTAATTTCGGGAGACGATAATGCAATTTTATCGTCGTGTATAAAATAATATTTTTTCCATAGCGAGTTACGTTTTAAAAAATATTCAGAAATTATTATTTCAAGGAATTTATTAGGAGTAGAAAAAATATTGTGCTGGGTTGGCGTTGGTTTCTATGTAATTTGACACATAAATAAAGCTGTCTCTTTAGTTGTCAGTTTTGAGTCAATATTTTTTAATTCTCTTTCGTGTCGATTGCTGATTGAATTGGAGCCAGAAATGGCTCAAAACGAAATAAGTAAATTACAAACAGATATTCAGGCTGAGGCGACAAACGCCATATCCTAGCTACTTCCATTTAAATCCCGAATAACTTATGAAAAGGAATACAAAAATATTTAAAAATGGAATTAACTGTTCAGCTAGAAATATTTTTGGTTTTTGTAACAAGGATTATTCAAAAGATATCTTAATAGTTTTTATTCTTTTTTTTTTAGAAAATACCTTTAAATGAAGGAACTATAACAATTACATCTGAAGTACCTTTAACGAGTGAAACAACAACTAGAATAACTACAACGACCGAAGGAGCTACAACTACAACTGAAATACCTACGGCGACTGAAGAAACTATAACAACTACAACTGGAACAACTATAACTACCGAAGGAGCTACAACTACAACTGAATTATCTACAACGACTGGTGGAACTACAACAAGTACACCTGAAATTACTACAACTACCGAAGGAGCTACAACTGCAACTGAAATATCTACAACGACTGGTGGAACTACAACAAGTACACCTGAAATTACTACAACTACCGAAGGAGCTACAACTGCAACTGAAATATCTACAACGACTGGTGGAACTACAACAAGTACAACTGAAATAACTACAACCACCGAAAGAGCTACAACTGCAACTGAAATATCTACAACGACTGGTGGAACTACAACAACTACAACTGAAGTGCCTTTAACGACTGAAGGAACTACAAGTGAAATAACCCCAACTATGGATGCAAATATCATAAAAAGAAGCATCGATGCCTCGATATATCGATATAATAAATTAAAAACATCAGTACAAGGTTTCCAGTGGATCTAGCACTTCTTACTACTTTCCACAGGCGTCATCCACTTGGAGTTGAAGGAGTATGTAACTAATACTATAATTTTTGTATTCGAATAAAATTAGAGTAACACGTGATAAAAAATATTGTTTTATTATTCTAGGTAGTTCACTTGACTTAAATAAACATAGTATTTATTTACATTATGATTGCACACAGGGTCGTTTCAAATCATTCGTCAAAAAATTAAATAAAATTTTTACGGTGTTACTTTTTTCCACTTTTTGTCTAATATACATACCAAATTTACTTTTTTAGTAGTTGGAGCAATAATTGTCATTAATTAACGGAAACAGTCACTTAATGTAGTTTGAATACTGGAATCATATTAATTGGTCCTCTTTAACAAATATTTAAACAGTTTTGTTTTTAATTTTTTAATGAAATAAACGAACTATATCGAGAATATTAATATCTGTACTCTTCAAAAATTTGTTACATCTTTAAAAATAATCTAAGACGTCACTATTCTATGTATTTGTATATTGATAAAAATGAGGTCTAAATTAAAAGAAAATGCATTTTCTACGAAAACTTGAAGAGATAGGTAAGAAATGGTATAATACAATTTGATAGACAATTAAATTGTGCATCAAATTCTCATAAAATATACAGGGCGTTCCATTTAAATTAAACAAGTTATTGCCGTTTAAAGCTAATAATTATTAAAAAAAAGACACTATGTATAAGTTAGTATATTTTTTATTATTGCAACACAAAATTTAAAAAATAGAAATACTTCAGTACAATATTTGGTTTTACAAATTTAAATACGCCTAGAGAAATAAAGCATTATAGTTATTAACGTAATAAGGCCGATAAACAACAAATAACGGCCGGGCTGAAGTTTGTGATCCGAGGCGATAGCCGAGGATCATAAGCAGCCAAGGCCGTTAAAAAGCTTATTTTTGGCGGATTTTTCGAAAGTCCATTCCAACGAGATTAAACTAACCCTCAAATATTACAAAGTTAATATAATAATATCGCCATATTGTTTTATCTCATGCTGACATAAATGTGAGAAAATTTTATCCAGTTTGTATGTTAATGTAAATTCTTGCTTTGTTTTATCATCACAATTATAAATGTTTAATTCAACGCGAACGAAGTCGCGGGTACACGCCAGTATAATATAATCATAACTCACTTGTCTAGTAATCCTAAACCCAATACATGCAAAACCCTTATCCAACTAATATGAAAAATCGACTTTATATAACGAGAATATACGTCTCGAGAAATTGAATAAAAGCAAACTAGACGTAAGCTTCAGAATAAGAAAAAAAATAAAAAAATTAAAAAACTTTCCTTAAAAATAGGTCACTTCATAGCCGGGGAAAAACGGCCAGACCTAACCTCATTTTTCATCTATTACATGCACGGGCGGAGAGTAGGGGTCATCCTATAGAAACAGGGTGGAGAGGGGGGTAAACTACTCGCACCTCCCCGAAGTAATTTCCAGGGGAAGTCAGTGCAACCGGAGACGATTTATATTCTTCGCGATGCACCGGCCCACCGCCTATATATTCCTTAAATTTCCATCGCTCGCTGTGTTGTTTTAAGGGCCGAAAGAAAAGGGGTGAAGCTGGGTAGAGATGTTTACCGGTATCGATATTTTTTGTATCGATATTCCAGAAAAAAATTTCGATATGATATCGGCTCGCTGTTGTATTAAGGGGTGAAATAAAAGAGGTGACGCTAGGTAGAGATGTTGGCCAGTATCGATATTTTTAGTATCGATACTCCAGAAAAAAATATCGATATACAATCAAAAAACTGTAGGGATGTCTATGGCTCGCTGTTGTTTTAAGGGAGGAAAGAAAAGAGTTGAAGATTGGTAGAGATGTTTACGGGTATCGATATTTTTTATATCGATATTCCAGAAATAAATATCGATATTCAATCGAAAAATTGTAGTGTTATCTATGGCTCGCTGTTGTTTAGTTTGGTTTGGCCAGAGAGTTATCTATGGCTGTACGGTGAAGTTAGGTAAGGATGTTGATCGGTTACGGGTATCGATATTTTTGATATCGATATTACAAAAAAAAATAACGATATACTATCGAAAAATTGTAGTGTTATCTATGGCTCGCTGTGGTTTTAAGAGCTGAAAGAGAAGGGGTGAAGCTCTGGGTAGAGATGTTTACCGGCATCGATATTTTTTGTATCAATATTCTAAAAAAATATATCATTATACTATCGAGAAATAGTAGGGATATCTATGGCTCGCTGTAGTTTTAAGGATTGAAAGGAAAGGTGGAAAGAGAGTAGAGATTTCTACCGGTATCGATATTTTTAATATCGATACTCCAGAAAGAAATATCGATATACGATTGAAAAATTGTAGGGTTATCCATGGCTCGTTGCTGTTTTCAGAAAAATTGTGAAGCGACATAGACAACTTAAACGGTATTAATATTTTTAGTGTCGATATTCCAGAGAAAAAATATCGATATGCAATCGAAAAATTGTAGAATTATCTATGGCTCGCTGTTGTTTTAAGAGCTAAAAGAAAAGGGGTGAAGCTGATGGGTAAAGATGTTTACCGTTATCGATATTTTTAGCATCGATACTCCAGAAAAAAATATCGATATACCATCGAAAAATTGTAGGGTTATGTATGGCTCGCTGTTATGTTAAGGGCTGAAAGAAAAAGGATGAAGCTAGGTAGAGATGCTGACCAGTATCGATATTCTAGAAAAAATATCGATATGCAATCGAAAACATTGTAGAGTTATCCGTGGCAAGTTGCTGTTGTGAGAAAAATTGTGAAGCGACATAGGCATGTTAAACGGTATCGGTATTTTTAGTTTCGATCTGTAGTTTCGATATTCCAGAAAAAAATATGGATATAAAATCCTATTAATTATAGGATTTTCCATCGCTCGTTATTGTTTTTAGAAATACGGGTAAAGGGGGGCGGGTGCTGCTGTACGGTATCGATATCCCACAAGAAAATATCGATATACAATTTTATAAACTGTAGAGTTATCCATTGTTCAATGGATGTCATCCTAGATCTAACACCACTGCACATTGTCATCGGTATATATGCCATTGCGACAATTATTAGATTTGTCATTGACGGAAACAGTACTAAGATAATTGCTCAGGCGCTTGGAACACTCTCAAGACTCTCAAGATGAAAATTCCACTCCTACAACTCCCAGTGGATAACATACTAAGAATGTACAACTTTGAGAAACACCTCGCTGACGCATAAAATGGTATATTGATACTTCCAAACCGAAAAAACTATTATAATAACCAAAAAATAGTAAAAAATAACCGAAAAAACAGACATAACAAAAATTGTCGATATGTTTTACCCATCCCTACTGGAAGGCTGTTCCTCCACTTATGTCGAGAACGTATGTTCCGGACAGGTCTGGAGTGGATGTGAGTCTGTAACTGGTCCAGACCCTGGATAGCCGAGAAAATAACGATTGCCAGTGGATTTTCTCGATTTTAAAGCAGCTTTAAATCGTTTTGTCTTTGCCTTAAAAGGTTTTTAGCTTTGTTTATTGAAATGCTTAAAGAAAACGAACTGAACATAAAAATATATGGAGATATAAAACGAGAAGAAATAGAAAAGTCTTCTAGTAAAATAGATTTGAAATCACTGATTAATCACGATCCTGCTCAAACCACTCAACGTAAGAAGCTCAATTTTGGCATATAGTTTGATTCTAGGGTGTAGAGGTTCGATAAGAAGGGATTTTTCGAAATTCCAGTTCCGAGGGGGTGAAACCACCTCTCAAATATTACAATATTTTTTATTTAAAAAACGGTGAGTTTTTCGGAAAAACTGTTAAACACGTATATTTTTTTTGTTGTTATACATATTTTAAGATTTTTTATACAGGGTGTTTTATAAAATATGACCATTCAATCACGATTCTGCTTAAAGTTTCCGAAAAAACGCTTAAACACGTACATTTTATTGTTTTTTAAATATTTGAATTTTTTTTAAAAATGTATACAGGGTGTTTCGAAAAATCTGGTCATGGATTAATGACGATCCTGCTTAAAGCGGTTGACGTAAAAAGCTGATTTTTGGAAAACGGATTGACTTTAGGGTGTAGAGGTTCGATAAGAAGGGATTTTTCGAAACTCGAATTTTAGGGGGGTGAATCCTCAAATATTAGATTATTTTTTATTTAAAAACCGGTGAGTTTTTCGGAAAAACTCTTAAACACGTATATCTTATTTTGTTGTTTTACATATTTTAAGATTTTTTAAAAATTTATACAGGGTGTTTCATAAAATATCACCATTGAGTACCTAATCACGATTCGGCTTAAACTGCTTGAACAAGTTGTACCGTATGATCGAGAAAAAACGGCGTCCAGTTGGCTTGGAAATGACAATCGATGACATTTCCCATATAATTTTACATATAAAATGACAGCGATCTTCATTTTATAGCCATCGCTGACGCCGTTTTTATTCGATCATACGGTATAATAATATCGCCATATTGTTTTTTTTTCTCATGCTGACATAAATGTGAGAAAATTTTATACAGTTTGTATGTTAATGGAAATTCTTGCTTTGACATTACATTGCAAATGATTAATTCGACGCGAACGAAGTCGCGGGTACACGTTTTTTAGCCCTGTATATATTCTACTATATTTCAGACAAAGATTTTATACACGTCTTACATCGTCTCAACATGCACCTAACCCCACCCCCAAAATCTTTACCCTCCCCATCCCTTATTGTTCGTATCCGAAAAGCGTCTTCCGTCTCACAGCCTGGTTTGTCTTTTACGGTGGCATTTTACAAGTTTGTCACGTCATTAAAGGGGAACGTGTGGAGACACACGTTATCCCAATCTATGGCGGTGGCGTTCCTGGCGAGATAGAAACGGGATATATAGGTGGGTATATACTATATGCAAGCTGCACTCCGCCGCGGCTGGATTTACGAGGTTAGGATGTTGGTAGAGGAATAAAAATGAATCAGTGCTGGAACGAGTGAAATATTACATATTGCCTTTTCTGGGTGGTGGAATAGGGTTATTGGATGGGAAAATGGTAAGTGGAAAGGGATAAGTTATCAGTAAACGGGAA